AATAATATTATGTTGTTTCCAATTTTTTATATATAATTTATGTGTACGATTTTATTTTATACTCTCACTAAAACTAGTTAATACCTTATTGTAAAAGTATTAGCTTTTAATTAATCTATGGTAAGTTAGTTAAAACTCAAGATTAATTCTACAGTATAATTACGATTTTAAATTCGACGGCGTATAAAATAATTGTTTTTAGCCAATTATTATTAGGTATTCTTTGTTTAAACAGAATTCAAAACTAAACGTACAAGCAATTAGGATTTGACAGAAATTCACTCTTCATTAGGTTTCAAAAGACCTTTGTGGTTTTGTACTCAATGTCCTTGATTGGCAAAATTGATCTCATCTGTTGGTCGTGGTATTTCATCATACTCACAATAACCGTTCGTTAGCAATTATTATACTATTCATAATATTTTACGAATCATAAAGCTTACAGGATATCATTAATAAATAAAAATTTGAATTAACTAAAAAAAACCCATCTGTATAAATGTCTAAAAATAAAAAATAAATGGTTTAAAACAAACATGGGTCATTCGATGCCAAATCACCTAATGTGTATGCGAGTGGATTTTTAAAATGCCTCAAACTTACATATCCTATACGAATAGTTCCATAAAATCAAAAAAGAGAAGAAAAATTTTTTTTTAATTTTTATGGACTTAGGCGATGAAATATTCCTGAAATTTGTTGTGAAAACACCTTAAGTTCACGAATCACGATCACGTTACTTAATGACTAATTATGATATCGTAATGGAACTTTCATTAAACACTTTTAATTTACGTGTTCTTTTTCATAATATACTTGAACATTTTTTTTCTTCAGATATTTAAGTACTTAAAAACTGAAAAACAAATTCAACATTTCATGAATTTCATTCAATTTTTTTACTGATTTAAGGTCAAAATTTCAAAACTTTTTTTTTTAATCTGACTTATCATACTATATTCGTTTGATTCATAACTTTTTATCAACAATTTTTTATTTTTTTTATGTGTAGGTAACCTTAAAGTTTGACGTTTTACTAAAAAGTGATATATTTAAGAGCCTATAACTTTTTACCACATGAACCAAAAATTCTGAAATTTTAGTTAAATCATTCAGGTGAAAACCAATCGAAAAATTGCAAAAAGTTACATGCAAAGTAGATTTTCACACGGCCGGGATTGACAATTCATGTTCTTTTAAGTTGCTGGTAATGATCCTATAAGATTACAGTTTTTTTGCATTTGTGGAACTACATGTACTTAATTTAACAATAATTAAACCTCGCTAACAACACTGCTGGGAATTTATAGTTTATGTCATCAAAATCGGTTCGGTAGTTAAAGGGGTAAACGAGAACAAACCAACATACACAAAGTAAAACTGCATCTAAACACATTACCTCCTTTCTTCCGCTGTCGGTAAAAATTATACTATTCAAGATTTACTGTAGTTTCGATAATTTATTATTATTAAATAACTAACGACCAATTACTTGTCTTGTGAGGTATTTCATATTACAATAATTATTTACTTATTATAGTTATTGGAAAATATAATTTTCTTGATTTCTTGTATTTTTTGTATTTCAGTAAAAACTAAAAAGATCGCAGGCAGACACATTATTATGAATGCATTATTATGATTGTACTAAATAGAAAACATTAGAATGTTGAATTGAAATTATAATTGTCGACAAAAGCACAATGACACTAGTTCGCATAAACAATGATAATATAGGTTTTTAAAATAAAAATCGGAAGTAAAATGTAATTATATAGTGTTAGGTTTTACGCTTACTAAATATAAATAATTAAAATAAATTTAATAAAAAAGATCGTTGTTGTTACTGTACAATACAAACTGTTAAAGTTAATTTATGATAATACTATATCATTATCGCATATATCATTTTTTCTTCTTATGATTAATATCATTGGAAAGAGATTTTTCATCTTCTCTTAGTGTAATACCAGCCTAATAAAAATAAGAAGGAAAAATTATCAGTTGTTAAAGAAATGTTATTCATTTATAGTTTATTAGTCTATAACCTTGATAGAGTATAGAAAATCTGTATGCTCAATTTTTGAAAATACCCGAAATCTTCTACATAGTCGCAGTGACCCTATGGTATCCACTTGTTAGGCTTTATTGCCATTACTTTAGGTATCTTCTGGTGGTATTTAAGCAGGTAAGGTCTAGGTAACATACCTAGCTAAGGAAGACATTAAGATTATAAAATATAAACTCTATGAGTAATCAAAATCACAATATAATTTATTATTAGAAATAACATTATTCATTACAAATGCCATTCCATAACAAATTAAGGAACAACATTATTAATTAAAAATAATTATTATAATAAATACAATAATTATATTAATTATTGATCTTAGCTCAAACCTTAAAATACGATAAATATTATTTGACCACAAGTTGTACTAGAAACTATATGCAGCGCAAGACTAACAATAGTTCTGTAAAATACAATATTATGATATTAATATTAATATACAATATTTATATTATGATACATCAACAATTCAAATATGACTAAATATATGTTCAGTGTTCACAAAAAAAAAAAAAAAATTTAATAATAATGGTTAATTGACGACTATACACATCTATATAGAATAATAAAATTATTACATAATACAAATTAACTTGAAATAAAACACTTAATATTCTTATAATATCATGATATCAAGTAAAACAATTAATACAAATAATAATGCAGTTATAAAATAATGTACATGGTACACGAGATAATGATGACAATTATTATTTAATTAACATTTAAATGATTGATTTTTAAATTGTTGCATTAAAATATGTTTTTGACAAATAATAATTAAATATAAGAATAAGGAGTAAGGGCAATGAACATTGTCACACAAACATGAACACAAGAATAAACAATTACAGTCACCCTGAAATTGTTAACATATCATAATTTACTTACTAAAAGAAACATAGTATTATTATTATTTAAAAACTAAGGAATCACATATATCCGTCTTTAAGTATATTATAATAAATGCAAATCATGTACATTGTAATCTAGATCTAGAGTAAAAACGTGTTATGCTATCTGCGGCACAAGTGGAATGACAATAAAATACAAACATTACAGTTCATCTAATTTGAAAAAAGAAACTAATCCGTTTTAAATATCCTTGTTCCAGCCATAAAACTTTAACACTCATCATCATACACAATATAGAAAATTGAGTAAAAGGCAATTCATTAGGTATAAGACTAAAATCAAACGTTAGGCAATAATTTTCCCTACAAAAATAACACAATTGATGTTACGTTTCTTTTTGACATCTTTTATGACGTATTAAATTATATGAAGTTAATAATATGTAAAAACATTATAGAAATGAATAGTTAATTTCCTAAAAAAATTTCACATTCTTAGTCGTATAAAACAAATCCATACATTTTGTTGGCAAGAAATTATCTTTCGTCACGTTCTTATATACTTTTCAAAACCAATTTTTGAAGAATTTATTTTCAGTAGTGTATTTTATTTCTATTATTTATAAAGTTGAAAAAAAATATGCTAATATATTAAATTTTAGAAGTGTATAAACGGTTTTGTATCAGAGTAAAAACATTCATACAATTGACTTATATGCACTTATATGTACTATGCCTTCAAAAAGTACTCTAAAAAAATGAACAGTCATATAAATAAAATATATAATCAGTTACCAATTTAAATCAATCAAATATAAGTAGTTTCCTTAAATTTAATTATTGCGTAATGATAAATAGCACAATACAATTTTTCAAAAATTCTATAAGCTGCCTAATTGTAAAATATTCACTTTTTCATTACAACATATTATGTTAATCACAAATACAAGAGAAATGTTAAAAATGTATTTTATTAAGACTAAAAAAGTAAGTTTCATATTATTTTTTTTTTCAGTAAATATACAATTGAAACTGTAAAACTGATTATACATACGAATAAAAATTTATGCATAATGGTTACCAATATAACTTGTGCGTTTTTACAAATAAATGTACAGTTAAGTTCCTAATACTAAAATTATTGTTATTAAATAAATTTGACACAGGTACATACGTCATCACGACAGGTACTTTTAACAAAAATACTTTTCATTAGGAAATTGTTTAAACATTATGTATATAGGATAAAATTAACACAAAAAAATGTGTTTTGGAAACTATTATATTTACTAATAATGGCTAATAAAAATGTATCTTATTTCGAAAAGCAAATTATTAAGATATATAGTATATTGTACACTTTTATTAAAATAATACAAAACAAAAATCAAATGACAGAAACACTACTGTTTATATGAGTGGACATTCAAAATGATAAATATTTCCTAATATAAATACATACACAAAAAAATAACAATAAAAGTATACTCATATTTATGTAAAGGATTTATCAGTTTACTGGAAATATCGTTAATAAAAGGTACATTTAAAAAATACATAATTACCAGAGATTAACATAAAACTGAAAAAGTATGGTTTTAATACTGACAATTAGATAAATGTGAAATAATAATGGTAAATAATATTACAAATTAATTAAACATTTCTCTTGTCAACTATAAGAAGTGCACACTATTTAACTATTTCGATGTTTAAAAAACAATTGTGTAGTAATAATTTTGAAAAACTTATGTGCTTGTAGTATAACTGACTTTGTAAAAAAAATATCTTTATGTATGTATGGTAATAAGTCAACCAATGCTGACAACTAATATGATACTTTTACAATAAGAATTTTGCGATAGTGTATAAAATATTATATACTTTAAAACAAATTATGTGGTGATTTATCTTTCCAAAATACTTTTGAAAAAATTTAATATTTATCAAAATAAAATTATTATAAATAATTAATAAAAATTAAATTATTACTTTATAGTAAAAATTTTATTTAAATAGTTAAATATAAAATAAGTAAAAAAAAGTCAGAATTGATTTGTTTCTGATGCTGTATAATAGAAAAAAAAGTAAATAAATTAGGAAAAAATGTATTTTATATACATAAAATAAACTTACACGAAAAATTCCATAGTATTAAAATTTAAAATTCACATTAAAATGTATAATTTTTTCAATAATCCTCCTTATTAAGTTTTTTTTAACATTTTGTTCATAAAAAAATATAATAAAAAGAAACAAGAAAAAAAAGGTCATGGTTGTTTTTTAGTAGATAATAATATTTGTGTTAAACCAATAATTAACTGCGAAAAAAGAAAGACACAGAAATGAAAAATACAAATTACTTTCAAATGATGTGTACATACATATATGAATGTTTGTACTTAAACATATTCTATTGTTGAGTGTTGGTAATTAATGTTTTTGTTTAATGTTGTTATGTCAGCCCCGTGGCTACCTTCGACCGCCTAATCCATTTGAACTTGTCTGGTGTGCGTTTGGTGACAACTCAAATTCCACTAATAATGGGAAATGATCTAAAAGCCAAAGGTTTGTCAATATATTTAAAAAATGTATTTACGAAAAATATTACCTGATGGTACATGTGGATGAGGGCAACCAAGGACTTTGTTTTCTTTAAACCATTCCGGAGCTAGAGGGCCAAGCAATCCAAGTGGTGTCATAGTGTGTCGAGTATAAAATATGTAATCTATGATTCCTTTAAAATTGAACCTAAATTTATAATACAATAAAAATTATATATTATCTAAAAAATAAAAAGTTTGTTTATGTGTTAATTTGTTACACACGTGTAATTAGTAAACGGCATAATATTTTCATATGCAGAAGATAATTTAAACGAATGCGTAAACTCATTTGGCCTTTCACAAGAAGAAATTTTTTGTAATAATGTTTTATATTGCAGATCTTTGAAGTCTTGGTGGTCAGATGAAACTTTGCCCGCTGATAAAAATTCTATAACTCCTATAAAAACATAATAAAATTTAAAAATTTTCATAGAAAGGTGTTATCGACGTTTGTATTTACCAGAATCTGGCAAAGAATTAAAATCACCACACAACAACAACTGAATGGGTGGTTGATGATGGCTCATACTGCGGTAGTTGCGATTGGCTTCTTCCAAAATAGTGTTTAATTCATTAGCTAACATCATAATTTGAATTAGCTTAACATCACAAAATTCTGGATCCCAATGAATATGTGCAGTGCAGACAAGTATTGGGTATTGAACATCTGGTGTCAATGCTAATTTAAGAAAAAGTTTAAATTAAACTTAAGTAACAAATGTTATAATAAAAAAAAATATTTGTATAAATTTTGGAAAATTCTAATTGTGTAACAATTTGATTAATAAAATAGTTATTGTTTTTGTATAAATATTACATAACATGGTTTAATAAATCAATTGTCCTATACTAAATTATGTAGACTTCTGTTAATAAATTGTTACTTTCAATAACTTTTAAAATGTATAAAGCAACTAAAAATTAAAATAAAACACATTTTATACACTTATAATATAACGTCATACCCAATTGTAATACTAATTGTGAAATCACTCTACTATTTATAATGTAATGCCAAACGGAAAACCTGTAAACCAGTAAAATATACTAATGAAATAATGTGCACAACTTTTCTTTCATGTATAGCATATACATTTGAACTAATACGTTTTGGTAATTAGTTAAATTAACAGGGGGGGGGGGTTAAGGTATTAAAATTTTTTTTTTTTTTGTTAACTGAATGCATAATATCTCAAGAATATTGTGTCAAAATTTCAAGTCGATCAGAACAAAATTGACGACGTTATGAGTTGTCGGAATTTTATAGCTGCCCAGCTTGAGCGCAATATCGTTAACTTTAAAGCGTTTTTCCCACAACTCACGTTTTCAAAGTCGGTGAACCTCATAACTTCAAAACTACTACACCGATCCTTTTGAAATTTTGAACACTATTTCTGTACATAACTTTCAAGGTAACGCTGGAGATTTTTTTTCAAATTTGTTAATATTTTTTATTTTACAATAACATATTAGTCAATTTTTTCCCCCTCAGTGTTCCCAAAAAGTGAAAAATTGAAATTTCAAAAAACTCTCCCGGCGTTACCTGGGGAAAGCAATTATCTAACGAAAGAACTTGGTTTTTTTAATTTCGGATGATCCAGCATCGAGTTATGAGGGACACTGCAATTCTACTTTTTTCCGAGACGCTTCCGAATAATTGCTGCCATTGCCGTATTTTGTAATATTTCTACATGAAAATATTACACAATATTCTTCGAATGTTATATTTTAATGTACCATTAGTTTTAATAAATAGATTTTAACTGTGTCGTCAAAAAAAATTCACAAAAATTTGCCGTTTTTTGCGCGAATTAACTTTACCCCCCCCCCTGACATCTTAAGGAGATGTCAGAACAATCTAACATTATCTAACTGGGCCAACAAATTTCTAGTGCTACTTGGTAGATTAATAATTTTTTTTTATAATACATATAAATATTGAAACGTTAAAATTTTATAACTATCTATAGGTAGCTGTGTAAATAAGATATCATACTTTAATCTACATACTTTTTACAAATAACTGTATATTTTGGTTTTAGTTACCTGAAACCTATGAATTTAAAAATACAAGAATATTTTTTTTTTATCAGTTCCTATCGAATTATATTTATCTATTGAAAATCATATAGTCTAGGTATTAGTAACTACTTTTCAACTAAGAAGTAACATTTAAACATTTTGCAAATAATATTTTTTATTACACCATTAATTTAAAAATAGTTCACAAACTATAGTCTTACATTATTCATTATATACACAATTTCCGTGTTATTCATTAACTTTTTGATTTTTTATAAAAACTTATTCTTAACTAAAACTTATTACCTATTAGGCTTATCATTGAAAACAATACTATTATATGTCTCATCATTCAATATAAATATATATTTTTTTTTCAGTAGGTATAGTAAATTCCACACGTCTCATTTAAAATATTAGAACTTTAAAATAATAAAACATGAATAATTATAATAACATTCATTGTCACAATAACAATATACTGAATAAAAATTTGGTATTATTAAGAGAAATTTAAAGACAAAACATTATGTATACAAAAATTAAACATTTTATTATTATAACTATAATAGGTAGTAAATATGAATACATCAAATATATAAATATATAAATGTATGATTTAGTATAATATAAACAATGTATAAAGCCCACAAATTATCGCACACGGATAAGCCATTAAGTATTTCTGGTCAGCATTTCCAAACATAGCGACAAAAACTTTGGCTGCATTTGAACTACTCCATAAGACGGCAACAAAAACAATTAATGCACCAAACACATTCTTGAGATTAACAAAAACGGCCAGCAATGCAACTAGCACAACAGGCGTAAAAGAATAACCCAACACTGAGAAAGTTGACGTCAATGTGACTTCTGATGAATCCGTCATAGCCCAGAGAAGTGCATACATGCACACTGACGTTAAAACTGCTAAGCCATAAACATAGCTAAACATTAGTTTACCGCCAGCTAACAGTAAGAGAGATGTGTATGTTAAATATAAAGCTATCGGTCCAATGACGTCGTAATCGCCTAAAATTACACCACATCGGCCAGTAGGATCGAGAGAATGTAACAGTCGTGTGAATATTTTGTTGACATCGATTCCGAGCTCTTCAAGGAGAGGTGGTTCATCTTCTTCACCAGTAAAATTTGTAGCAGGCTGCTGCCAAGGAGATGATGGATTCAACTGAGCTGGTTGCGAATAGCTGTCAAAGTTCTGGTCGTAGTTAGAGTAAGCGCTCGAATGAAAGTTAAGATTATCGTCGGACACAAAGAACGAACTATCCGTATAAAATTGATTTTGGCTCATACTTCTATTAGAAAACTTTAATGATTGCAACGAGAAACTTTGGTCCGTGACATGTCACACAACGACAACAAGAAAACCTCCAAATGATGATAACAGAACGTCGGACACGATAACCGATTCGATTTTAACAATGCCGTGATAAGAACACAGTGCAGTCACTTTGACATATAATTTTTTCCCTTGTTTCCGTACATTCAAAATAATAATACATAGAATAAATCTAATACCAAGTTACATTTTAATTTTTTTATTAATCTAATATTAAACAAAAATATATGCATAAGAGCTATTTCTAGATTTTTTTTCGATTAAGCAAACGAAGACACGTCGATGTGTACAAAAAAAATGATGAACGTGTCATGATAAAGCATTATTGCAGCATGAAAATAAATGCGTTCACCTCAATATTTTTGTATAAAGTATAAACAATAAATACGTTTTTTTGAATCAACAACAATTTAAAAATAAAATAAACCATACAACATTTTGTCAACCGATAAATACTACAAAAATAATTAGATAGAAATCTTATCACTGTAACAGATGAGCTATCTGTTACATGTTATTTCGCCACGCTCCGTTCCATCACCTCCACTCCTTTAGCTCAATCAAAAGGTAAAATTTTTACTGTAATGATTAAAATTAAAAAAATTTTTTGAACCCTTCTTTTCTAAATCGAAATTTGGTCACGTTAATTCTATTATTTTAGAGACCCATAATATAAATTATTAAACCTCTTTGTAGTTTAAAATAACACAGGAAATAAAATATTCTCACATTGTAGTTTACCCATTGCCATTTTAAATTATTAAAATCTAATTTTTTTTTTTTTAATATGACAAATACAAAATCCAACATTTTTGCAAAAATAATACAAAAATCAATTTTACGTCACAAATTAAATCCTAAATCTAATACAAATAAACCAAAAATAAATTGACAAAAACGAAATCTAGATATTGCCAATAACTTGCGACTTCGTAGTTTTTACGTCTGGGCCCTTAATTTCCCATCATTTTCCCAAAAAGTATTTTTGGACAAGAAGTGTTTATGCTATATAATACAAATTATTTTAATATTCTATGGTTAAATGTTTTAGGAATATACAAATACAACATATATTACGTCGTTATATTGAAATAGTCTTTAGAGTGGTATTTTAGTTATAACTACTATTTTGTGTAAAATATTAAAATTTAAATAAAACATTTTCAAATATGATTTTACATTTATAATTTTTATTCATAGAAATGTTCAAATTATCATAAAAAGTGTATCTATTGTTTAGTTCAATTACCAAATTTAATTAAACCATATTACTTTTAAAAAATACGACGGCGAAACAAATTATAAACTATTATATACCTATTCTCTTCGCACCAATTCCGCAATCACAGTTTTTTTTAGTTATTTACAATCTCTGTCAGCCAACTAGGTGAGCGTTAATTGCTTTGCTCGAATTAAAAACTTAAGATTATCCAATGTCTTTAACTGTTTTTTTGCAGTAACTAAAGTAAACAATTATCCGTGTCCGCTGAATACATAAATAATTCATAATAGATGTTAAAATAATAAGAAACCACAAAATAAATTTAATTGTTTTCTTATTGCCACGTACTCGATCTTTGTGTAATTGATTTTTAACAATAGACCGCGGGACTGACCTATTTATGTATATTTTAAAAAAACACGATATGGAAAACAGAACTTCGGCCATTACAATGTATACATAAAACTTCAAGATGATTAACGCCCAAAAGTATACATAAAATAACACCTTATGATAATTTTTGTACATCGTGAAAAAGTAGTTATCGAATTATATTTTCTGATGAGAAAAAAAATCTAACTGCTCGAAATGTATAAAACAGCATATAAATATATATATTATAATATAATATATCGATTCTATACTATTTGATAGCCACACAGAGAGCTGTTGGTCCATTCATTTGCTAATGACGACCTGAGGGCCTAATGTTGACTTTCACTTACGTCTTACAGCGTCTCTCCTAAACCTATATGTACCTACGGCAAAGTGATTTGATTATCTTCGATAAAATATATCCTAGTTAACACACAAGTACAAACTAATATTTCTAAACATATTGTAGGTACTCGTCGTTATCATCCGACTGAATGAGACAATCGGGTGTTTTCATGGTTATAAAACACTGACATACCAAAATTAATGTATTATTTGAGTGACAACAAGCTAGAGCTTCCGTATTTATTGTGGTTTTCTCGGTAGTATATTTTTTGTTATGAATTTAATAACATAAATAACATTTAATGCATTTAATAGAAAGGGTCGAGTATAAAAAAAAATATAAAGGCGATAGTTAGTACTTACAGTTTTCCCAGGCGGTCTCGTTGGTCTTTAACAGTGCGGCCAAGCCGATGTTGTCCCTGGGCATTACTCGGTTCAACATGTCGTCAGATCCGCTAGAATTTGCCATGGCTAGCTGATTAAATTCGATCAGATGTTCTTTGATCAATGTGAATCTACACAACAACAAAAAAAAATTACATTCATATTATGATAAATAAGTTAAATTAAAAAAAAGCCTAACGATGATTCAATTTTGTACAAACATTTTACTACAAGCGTTACATAAGGGACATGCGACGGGACTATTTTGAGGGCTCTAAGTCATCTCTAGCGTGCTGAGCAAGTTATTATTATTTGAAATTGAGCTAATAACAAACGTTACTGTGAATAACCGTAAGTAAGATTCGTCTGTCGATATAAGTCAACCTAAAAGGTGGTGGGTGATGTTATCTAACAACGCCCAAATCCAAATTACGTTTTGATTGATCAATGACTTAAACTAATGCAGAAATACGTGTAATTATACTTTAGCCCACAAATTGCATGTCATTATTACATTGATCAGGTATCAAACCGACGTCTTCCGAAATGGCCACACCAAGAGTAATTTTGGGACGTTCGTCAATTATTGTACGTTTAAAAGCCACTTATAAAGTCAAAACATTCAACATATAAATATAAGAGCTATGGCTGTTGCGCACATACAATCGAGATCAGTGTATTTTGGCACGTTATATTATTATTTATTATTATAATTTAATAAAAGGGTCTGTGTATACTAACTTGATGGCCCGGAAAAATATGGCGCATCCATCGACGCGTTTCCGGTCGTTCTCCGACATAGTTTTCGCCCTAGATTTTGGTGAAAATATACCGTCATAGCCGTCTTTTTTCAGCTCCGGCAAGAAGAAATTATAGAACTGATCCGTCTCGACTTCCTAAAAACAGTTTTAATATAACGTAAGTATTAATTGTGTTTAATATAATATTATTCTGTATTACATCGTGTTAACGTCAAGGCACGATTCCCTGTTAGTTACTTGCCTGTAAGGTAATGATATCTGCCGTGTAATGCCTAATTTCTCCCAAAATCACTTTCTTTCTGTATTCCCAGGTCAGAGCCCACGGCGGACAGTATCCGTACATCTGAGAAGTCGCGTATTTTTCGCACAAAACATTGTAGCACATCACCGTTATCGGGCCTGCGAAAAACAACAACGTTAATTTATTTCAATTGAAACAGGTTTAGTTTACATTAAGACGGGTACAATACAGTGTAACTATTGTGTTTTAAACTCACACGAAGGAATATTCTTGTTGGGTCTGGATAGAGGAATCCATGGTCTTCCCGGCGGTGAAGGTGTGTCTACTGTAATATAAAAATAACACATAAAGATTTGAATAACCTATACAAATAATATAATAGGTACAGAGTATATTGTAGCAACAGAAAAAAATGCTTATCATATTTTATCCAGTCTAATACCTTAATTAGTTTACTATAGGCTGTAGGTATAAGTATTTTGATACGTGTACGCTTATAAAATAGTCAGGGTAAAATAATATTCGCATATTAAGCGCGACAAAAACTCAACTACTAACGTATTTTTTCTTTGTTTTCTAGGTAGTACTACTCCACGGTAAAACAAATTATAATTTCATTTATATAATATTGTTTTTATGAATATTCAACCCCGTTCACCTTAATCTATATGAATGCATCAGTCACTGATACAATAGTCAGTGTTCAACGCCCATCACACTGTTATAGTAGTATAATGATGCTTGTTTTAAACGACAATAAGCGGTAATCAACCAGCATATTATACAAACTATGTATTGCATAAACCATTTGTGTACCATAATACAACACTATACAACTGTTAGATACAATTTAGTTGAATTAAAACAGAAATTTATAATATTTATTTTATTTATTAATATAAAATTTATAATATTGTTGTATTAGCTGCACAATCTGATGATCACATAGAAAATCTAAATATGATTATAAAATTACAATAGTAGGCGTTACTCAATAGGATCAACTATAAATATCCTCCATTCAGTCTTTAGAGTATTTGACAAATATATAAGAGTTGATAAAATGTGTTTAGCCTACATTATATTCAACTTACACTGTCGGTATGATGTACGAGTACTAAATATTTTACCTGCTACACTGGGCACCCTAGCACAGACCCTGCATTCCTTACCGTGTACACCAGATAACTAAAATCATTAAGGATCAGAGGTTGTAGAGCAAAACGAGTGCAAATACGCTATAATATTATTCAACAAACCGTGGAAAACAATTCTTAGGGCCTTATATCCCTCGAGTATTCTCTATAACTATATGTTCCTTTAAAACCTATTCTCTTTATAATCTTTCCCTACAAATTCTTGTATATCATTCTCTATACGCGCGTAAGTTCTTATAATGTAGAATTTTATAATATTTCGTTTTTATGATTAGCACACGTATTATCCGCATGCAATTCAATTCACAAATAAATTTGATACTACTGAACTATTTTGTTCCCGAACGGTAATTTTTTACCGCTGAAATAATATGTAAGTATTTTCAAGCGGTCTAAAATTCAAAATTGGCTAGCAAAAACCACTATGAAAAAAATTATCAACGATATTATAATATATTCATGTTTGAAAATAGCTACCATCGTACAGGACGTGCTGTCACGTTATCTCGAGTGTATGTATTATGTGACCCTTCTACCGCGGCTCCACCCTTTACTATAGTCATTAGTCGTTCACGAACGCACGCCAGCCGTTTCTTCTCCTCTGTAATATAATTATTTTAAGCGACCCGAGTGAATAATAACAAATAGATATACGTGACGAGCGCTGCAAAAACAATGGCTTCAGCTCGTGTATGTGTGGCAATTCGGACAGCTACCGGTGTTTAAACGCGTTTTTATAATCATTATTATTGCCCATGCGGTGGTATTGTTGTTAGTTTTAGTTGTGAGGTTTTTAATTGTTCTTAGCGCGCGCACTTCTTAACACACATAAAAGACGGGGCCGTTATATTTAAATTGTCAAGATAATCCGCCCGCTGGAATAACAGTTTACATTGGATTTCTCCCTCCAGTTTGCGTTCTCTTTTTGAGTACAATGTTATTTTTCTAATATTATTATCAGCACGAAAACGGGACAAAAAGCACACGAGAGAAGCTGGTCAAAAATCGAGGGGACGCGCGAGTTTTCACGGTAGCTTAAGGCACGACGGAGAGATGTTTGAAGACTTACGGTGAGAGTTGTTGAACTCTTCTAGCGAACCGCCGATACTATTAAGAGTGATCAACGCGTAAAAAACTCTGTTTTAAATTAACAGATAATCGGTGAAAACAAATTGTTTAATATACCAAGATCACAGCTCAGAAGTAGGAACTAACGGGGAATAAACTTATTATTATCAAATTGTGTCAAAATCCGGACTGTGATAACCTAAAGGGTGGAAGGAAATAATTGAGAGGACCGTCTAAATATTACTAGAAAAGGGTTTTATATCGATGACATTTCGACAATTACACTCATTTAGAACAAAGTTCGTGCGCAGACGTATTAATGCAAAAAATACAAAACATATTTTTAAGTACGAAACAGACAAATTACCATAGTAATTTATTCATTTATTTATTATGACATTTATTAATTAATGAAAAATGACTATAATAATAAATACCTGTTTTATAAACTACTAACACACATTTCATAAACTCATGTGAGTTAAAAATAGATTAATTCTGTCACTAAATATATTAAAATGGATACAAGCGGCGACTGATCTTTAAAAACCTGACACTAACTAATCAACATTCTGAACGAACCTCGCGATTTTCACCTCCACTCGTTTGTACGAGTTTAATTATAATAGCTACTCTTTAGTCAGTATCTACTCTAATCCCATTTGTAAATTTAAGATGATCATAACAACTTTTCGTACATTGTGCCGTAACGAATTAAAAATCACGCCATATCAAATAAATATTCTTGAAAATTCTATTAAATTTCTCGAAATAGATTATTTTTCTTGTATTGCACTCTTGAGTAATATAACTAGTAATTTAACAGCATGTCGCATTACATTTAATTTTGATTGATCGTTAGAAATACATTTGCGCATATAATGAAGTCGAAAAAATGTTTCGAGATCCAATGCACTTCTCTACGTGGGTACCGAATTTGCATCTGAATTAATTAGGCGTATGTGTAATTCATTTTATTGGCAGTTTTTAAGATCTTTTTGAAATATTTGTACATAAGAGGGTGCTCGTGGTCATTATTATTATAGCATGTAAAACGAGGAGTATATAAAATAACGGGATAATTATTTGCGTGTGTGGCAGTGCACCCGAAACCATCGCGAACTACGGTAGGTGTGTGTACAGTTGTTCTGTACTAGGGCAGCTACAGAGTACACAAATATAGATGTGGGTATCAACAATTTAAAACAGTTAATATAAACATAAACTTCGAGAGTCGGTTGAAAAAATGTGTTTTCCATAAAACCGTTGTATCAAACAATCCGTTATAATGAGTTATACATTCAAATAAATCGGTGAAAAAACCCGACTGGTAAAACAGGTGCAGCTTATATCATAAAAGAGACACCGAGAACACAATATATACATATAAATTTTCTTAAATTTTGTAATAATCAAGCTCAACGTTCACGTGTTCAAAAATCACAATACAATAATCTATGCACATTTTGCTACTAGATTGTCTTATCATAAAACGTACGTTATCATATTATACCTTTACCATTATGCAGAATGGAAAATGTATATAACGCAGGATTAGTAAGAAATGTCACTTAAATCCCTTGTGTCCAGTATGCCTCAAATGTAAAATTTAAAACAACCAAGCCCAGAGAGTGTGCAATGAAAAAGTGTAGTAGGCGAGTATAATTTATAACAAATATAACCATTTGACGAACAGTCGTAATAAAACTACATACTTAATGTACATACAACATTAATACATTGTACATTAATTGTTTGAAAAATGTAAAGATTTAATAAAAAAAAAAAAGGTCATATTGTTACAAAAAAAAACTTGCATAATGAGCAATTATGACTAACGTTATCTTGATTTTTTTTTTCAACGTTTAATAAACACTGTTATTAGAAACACAAGTGTACTAGGTACCTAATCAAAATTAAATATTCAATAACCACTGTTCTAAAAATGCCATGACTAAAAATTAAGCATACACCTTTATAGTCTACATACAAATGACCAGTCAAATATTAATTTAGAAATTCTAATACTAAAAACAGATTTGATTCATAATTAGACTTTTTATTGTTTAATTGAATAATTTACTGATATCGAAGGATTTAAAATAATAACTGGCTTTCCCGCGTCACGTATGTATTATAATATAATATACATAGTATATTATACAAAACATAAAAGCAAACCAATCCTACAAAAATGTATTTAAGAGAATATACATATAGACCACGTTGGAAATTTTCATGAGGAGATATATGCGTTTAATAACATGCATACAACATAAGCATATAAAACAACGTCAGACGAGCAAACTGTATCAAGTCACATTTATTGTAATAAAAATACAAAACAAGAGACACTTTTAAACTATTGTCAAATTGGAACAGAACGAAACACAGTGAGTGAAAGTAGGCGAATTATAATGAGAAAGTCAAACGGAGTCATTACAGCAAACTGCTCCACATTTATCGTTGTTGAGTACCACCTCTTATATTTTTCTATGTTCGCAGTGAGCAATTTTCTTCTTTATTATCATTTTTTTTTTGTATTCTTTCTCCTCTTTCGTTGTTCCAATGTCAACACCAACTAAACGATAAAAATAATTGCACAAGAAACAATGGGGCATCCCTCCTTTCACGTTTCGTTACCAAATCGGAATCGATTTACTTTTTGGGCCCGTTTGAGACACGGTTTGTTCTATGCAATAGTATACAGAGTGCATTACTATTACCGCGATTTAAACGGTTACAAGCGCTTTTCCGTGTACTTCGGAAAACGAAAATAACTAAAATCACAAATTAGGGAGGAAACAATTATTATAATAATCATAGTTGCCGAAAAACGAAACAATCGCAAAATAAAAATAATAATAATAAGAAAAAATATCAGACACGAGTACCACTACCGACACTGATCACCGGCTGGACGTGTCAGGCGCATTAGAAACTCCGACGGCAAAATTGTTGTCCAAGGCGATAGTAATATATACACCGCGTTGTGGTGTTTACTACAATGTAATAGCTTCTATTCTTAGCATTTCAACGTGCGGGGCAATATTGCCGCCGTATTCATTGGGATTCGTTTCAAAAAAAAAAATCATGGCAA